TGCTCCCCAACAGGGTCGGGCAGGAGGAGCCCTCAGCCATCGGCATGGGCACCCCGCACCCAGGTGAGAGGGGACTGTGGGGCTGCCAGCCCTGCAGGACCCCAGAGCCACCCCAAGGGAGGTGGCCAGGCCTGGCTGTGTCACCAAATATTGGACCACTGGTGGCCACCACCTCCATCAGCTCTGCTTGCAGACCAGCTGAGTGCAGAGCCAGGTCAGGGATCCAGAGGGGAAGAGGAGACACACCTGGGCACCTCCACAGGGGATGGTGCAATGCAGGACTGCACTCCTGCCACCAGCAGTGCACCCAGCTGGTTTGGTGACAAAGGCACCCTTGCTCAGGTGTGTGGTGCCTGAAATTTTGCATTTTTCTATTCAGCACAGGGTATGAAAAAGAAAAAAAAGAAGAAAATCAAGAATAAAATCAAGTCACGGGAACCTTCTCTGGAGCAGCAGCGTGAGGAGGTCTCAAGCACCTTTGGTTGGTATTTCTCAGGACAGATTTTGCTGCAAGCACCAGGCTCTGGTCTGCTGGCAGCACGCTGTGCAGGGACACTGGCCATGGGGGGCTTGGTGTGGGGGCACGGGCACAGACAAGTGCTGGGGGGCTGCTGTGGGGCAGATGCTGCTGCCCCTGCTGTGGGGTGGGATGCAGAGAGGCCACCCCAGTGCCTGTGCTGGGTCTGGGCTGTCCCTGCAGCCCTCACTGAGCACAGGCTGCCAGCCATGGGGTCCAGGGCCTGACTGCCCCCTTGTTCCCAGATTTGTACCGCCGGGCCATGCTGGCTCTGAAGATTAGGCAGGAGCAGAGGAAGCAGCCGTCGGCCATCGCCCCCTGAGCAGGGAGGCACCGAGCACGGGCTGTGGTCCCGAGGAGCCGGGCTGCAGGGCAGGGCAGAGCTGTGGGTGCTTGGCCAGGGCTGGCAGAGCTGGGAAAGGGGTCTGGGGCATCAACTACATCCTTGTCCTCTGAGTGGCTGAAAACCAGGGATCCACAGGGGCCAGCCAAAAGTCCCTTTGTAAAACGCCTCTGGCAGCAAACCCGAGTGAAAAGGAAACAGCCGGCCCCTTGCTGCCCCCTGTTAGTGTTCCCTGGAAGACTCCGACTAAACGCGCATTGGTCCGTGTGGAGAGGCAGATCCGAGCAAACACCAGGGGGAAAGCTTGTCCCTTGTATTGCCCGGTGCGGAGAAGGCTGTGCTCACAGGTGAGGGCTGGCCCGGCACTCCCTGCCTGCTGCCCGGAACGCTCTCGTTCCCTGCTGGTGACCGAGGGAGGGCAGCCCCGGGCGGTGTGCAGAGGAGCTCCACATCTGGCAGGGCCGTCAGACCCGCGTCCCACTCTGCAGGAAGGTGGTGCCCGTGTTTGTGCACCCTGCAGCCCATCAGTGAACATTTACATGCAAAGGCAGCTGGTGGCAGAGGCTCCATACCCAGGAGTGACCCTGCCACCCTTCCAGGAGGGACACTGTCGCTGGCAGCCTGGTACTCTGCTGCCCCAGGTGACACGGGACAGCAGCAGCACACCTGTCTGAGCCCAGCCTGTGACACTCTGTGTGTGCGGAGCAGCAGCACAGCCTGTGACACTCTGTGTGTGCAGAGCAGCAGCACACCTGTCTTGGCTCAGCCTGTGACACTCTGTGTGTGCAGAGCAGCAGCAGCACACGTGTCCAAGCCCAGCCTGTGACACACCGTGTCTGCCAGGGTGCACGGCAGGCACAGCTGCCCTCAGCCCTGGAAACACTCCACCTGGAGCCCAGGGTTGGTGTTTTTCTCGTGGCACCTGCAGCAGGCAGCGCTGGAAGCTGAGGTGTGCGTTAGTCACCTCTGCTCCCCTGTTACACATTAACGGGCTCTGCCTCTGCCGACCAGGGGAAGGCAAATCAAGGGAGCCCTTTCCTGGGCAGGGCTGGAAAGGGAAAGGAAGAAAGTGGCTGCTCTGCCTTGCCAGCCTGCCATAAAGCTCTGACTCAGGGGTTATTTGTAAATAAACTGTAAATAACAGCAGCAGAAGTTGATACTGCCCTGTAAATACAGCACTTTCACAGCACCTGTCTCAGTGTGGTGGAGTTCCCTGGGGTGTGGGTGCTGGGGGTACAGGGCAAAGTGGGGACCAAAATGGAAATGGTGGCTCCCACGAATTTTGGGTTTGTTGGAAAATGCTGGAGCTCCAATCGTGCAGGAAGCAGGAAGCAGTGCCTCAGCAGCTGCTCTGGAGGAACACATTTTGTATCTCTTGTGCATAGCACCAACAGCACTTTCTACAGGGAGCCAGCTGGGTGAGGCAGCCCGGCTTTGCATTTCAGCACTTGGATATTATCTAGCACACCCTTCCTTTCCAGTTTCCAGAGAAGCTGACTCAGGAGTGCCAGGGTAGGCAAAATATTGTGCCTGGTGCCGCCAGCACTGTAGTGGTGCCTCACCTGGGCTGTGGCTGTATTGCTGCGGAGTGGTGTGTGAGTGCTGCATTTCTGCAGCTCTTGTGCTGCTCTCTGAGAGACCCAGCAGGGTCAGCAGCAGCTCTGTGCACAGCCTGGGCCCTTCTGAGTCCGAAGGATGGAGAGAGTCAGAGATGGAGGAGTCTGAGCCTGGCTGGGCTCTGCCCGAGTCGACGCTGTTTGTGTGCTGCCAGGAGAAGATGAGGAGATGTTTCAGCAAGTGCCATGGGAACACACCTCCCACCCCCTCATGCCAAGGTTGCTTTGCACAATTGGGTTGTTTCCTGCTGGCTGTGATCACTATCAGGAGTTAAAGTTGAGTAGTGAGCCTGCTGCTCCTTTGTGAAGAGCACTGCTTGGTCAGTGTTCAAACCCTGCCATGTCTCCCGTGTCCAGGACAGCCCCAGTCCTTGCAGGCAGCACAGCAGAGGCTGCAGAGAGCCTGGAAGGTGGCTCCCTGTGCTGAGGCTGCCAGCCCCTCCAGTTCCACCCATGGCCCTGCTGTGCTTTCTCCAGGGTCATTGCATTTCATTTTCTGCGTGCTGCCTGGGCTCAGCCAGCACTACACTTTGTGTTACAGCCCCCCAGAAGAGGATGGGGGTGATGCTGACTCTGAAACCTCCTCTGAGAGCCCCTGGTTTGCTCCACACACATGGGCAGGGCAGCAGGTTCCCACTGCAAGCTCTGGTTGAGAGCACAGGCACCTCTGCTGCTCTACATCCACTGCTGTGTTAATAAAAACTAAACCCTGTGGCTTTTCCCATATACATTGGAGTTTCCAGGGGAGTGGGAAGCATTGTGGATCTCATAATCATTTCCAGGACTGTGATGGAGACACCCTTTGGGGATCAGCCTTGCTGGCAGCTGCAGTGGGGATGCTCTGAGGGGAAGGACAGGGAAGGGACCCTGCTCCACACATCAGGGAGTGTGGGGTGGCAAACCCACCAGCAACCAGGCCTGACAAAGGAAAAGAACTGAAACAAGAGACAGAGATTTGTGATGTGTGAAAAACATGGCAGTTCTTTCCTCTTCACTAACCCAAATTTACAGAAGAAGGAGCCAGCAGTGGTTTTTGAGAGCACCTCAGACACTGGAATGTGAACAGTGATTTAGGGCAGTAAAGGGAATTAATTACAAGTGATGATCCAGGTTAATGGGTGTTTGGAAAGGCAAATGGAATGGATCACATCCTGTGGGGTGCCTCCCACTGTAAATCTGTAAATCCCATCACCTGCCCTGGTGTGGGGGCCTGAATATATGTTGTATTGTGGGATCTGTGTGGGTCTGAGTTGCTCCAAATGAGCTGCAGCTGCAGGGTCCTTAGTTGGGCAGCAGCTGTAGCTCGTGAAGGTAACTGAGATAAATAGGGGTGGGTCAAGAGCCCAGGAGGAGCCCTTGAGAAGATATGAAGGACTGTGCTGCAGAGAATGGAGAAGAGCCCCAGCAGCGAGGCAAGAACAACACTGCAGTGAAGATTACAACAACTAATATAGTGCTTGAATATCTGTATATCGGCCTTGCCCTGGTAGGTCCCAGTTGCTCTAAATGGGCTGCAGCTGTGATGTCCTTAATTGGGCGGCA